GAGTGTTCGAAAAATTGCGGTGGATTTGAGGAGGTGTTTAGCGATCATTAAAAAAAAATCGTAGTCTTCTCACAATCTATCCTGAGGTCCAGTAGCTTGTTCACGATCTTGGAAGATACTCTCAAAGTTGAAACCGGGTAAATGGCCCCGATACCTCAATTGGTTCATAAATTGTTTTGTACATGTCTTCATATGGGATGCTGGGCCCGGTTCCCAGCAAGTGCTGCTCCCCATGAATAGATTGGAGCATGTTTTCAAAAAAAAAAAAAAAAAAAAAAAAGGATGAAGGGGGTAATAAACCCACTTCCCCCTGTGTGACAAGCCTTAGACGGGTTATATAGATGAACTCAGTTGGTCTGCAGCAATGTGCTCCGCACATCCGCGTCTCAAGACTCTCAACACACGTTGTCCTTGTCTACGATGAGGAAGGGCGGAAGGGTGTTATGGCGGATCGACGAGAGGGTTGAGCACGGGCAATCACCGCGCTCACATTCAGCGGAGCGAATCTCGACTCCATACAAATCTCAACGGACCTTGCCCCGCTCCCTCCCACTTATCTAAAATGCAAATTCAATGACACAGCGTGTTTAATCACAAAATCGTCACTAGAACAAAATGGCTATGGCCGGGTAGCAAAGAGATCGGGCGGGTCGACTAAACACCCACGCCTGATGTCCATGGTTGTCGACGATCAGCCCAAATGAACGAGGGACAAACCGACATGTAGCACTTGGGCGCAAGAGGGGAGAGAGGGAAAAGTCGGCGACGATCCCCCACGCTCACTCATAGCACAGGGATCGACAAGGGTCGGGGAAAAGAGGGGAGATCAACACACTCGCACATACAAGCAGACGTTTGACACCCCAATACTCCCTTGGGTTGCGGCTAAGTATGCCTTACAACCGCAATACCATTTCACATCTATACACTCATGTATCCAGGACAGCGAAGCATTCAACATGCATAAACCCCTGTAACCAACATCATGCATGTGATTGAGTATCCACACTTAGTCGACGACACACAAAACACTTGGACAAAGCAGCAATGGAGAAGAAAAAACTAATCCAAAAGCAACGTAGACTAAGTGTAGGGATATTGCGGTTGAAGTGTTTTATCTAAGTGTTTTGTGTGTCCAAAAGATAGGACTCGCTCTTTTTTCTCCATTGCTGCTTTGTCCAAGTGTTTTGTGTGTCGTAGATTAAGTGTGGATACTCAATCCCATGCATGATGTTGGTTACAGGGGTTTATGGATGTTGAATGCTTCGCTGTCCTAGATACATGAGTGTATGGATGTGAAATGATATTGCGGTTGTAAGGCGCACTTAGCCGCGACCCAACGGAGTATTGGGGTGTCAAACGTCTGCTTGTATGCGTGAGTGTGTTGATCTCCCCTCTTTTCCCCGACCCTTGTCGATCCTTGTGCTATGAGTGAGCGTGGGGGATCGTCGCCGACTTTCCCTCTCTCCCCTCTTGCCCCCAAGTGCTACGTGTCGGTTTGTCCCTTGTTCATTTGGGTTGATCGTCGACAACCATGGACATCAGGCGTGGGTGTTTAGTCGACCCACCCGATCCCTTTGCTACCCAGCCATAGCCATTTTGTTCTAGTGACGATTTAAATTTGTGATTAAAAACGTTGTGTCCCTGAACTTGCATTTTGGATAAGTGGGAGGGAGCGGGGCAAGGTTCGTTGAGATTTGCTCTCAACGTTGCTTTTGGATAAGTGCGCCTTACAACCGCAATATCATTTCACATCCATACACTCATGTATCTAGGACAGCGAAGCATTCAGCATCCATAAACCCTTGTAACCAACATCATGTATGCGATTCAGTATCCACACTTAGTCTACGACACACAAAACACTTGGACAAAGCAGCAATGGAGAAAGAGAGTGAGTCCTATCTTTTGGACACACAAAACACTTAGACAAAACACTTCAACCGCAATATCCCTAATATCTGTCTCTTATACACATCTAGATGTGTATAAGAGACAACACTTAGACAAAGCATGTGATTGAGTATCCACACTTAGTCTACGACACACAAAACACTTGGACAAAGCAGCAATGGAGAAAAGAGAGTGAGTCCTATCTTTTGGACACACAAAACACTTCATCCGCAATGGACAAAACACTTACACACACAAAACACTTGGACAAAACAGTGCTGGCCTCCCTCAGGCGCAACCACCAACCAACCCAAACATTATCCAACCATAGCGAAAAGGTCCTGTCGCTGGCTACATCCTATCTCCACCACCGCCCAGTCCCTCCGACTACTTTACCCCAAGTCTACCACTAATCCCACCTCACTGGTATGCCGTCACTCTGCCCCGTCACTTGGGCACGTCGAGCCTGTTCGACGCTTCGGTCTTCGCGCATAGCTCGCGCAGCATTAGCCGAGATCAAAGAGGAGGAGAGTGAGGGGCTGCGAGAATTTATAGCACAGAAGGCGGCGGGGCGCCAGCGTGCGATGTGGGCAGCAAGGGGTGTAGATGAGCAGGACAGAAGGAAGAAGGATGTTCCAGAAAGGGTCGAAGACTCGAAGAAGGGGGAGCGATAGGCAATTTCGTTCAATTTGAGTGGCACTGGTCGTTTAAGTTGCGCACGTAAGTTATCTCGCAGCATTGATTCGACCATCCCAACTATGACCAATCAATTGCGCTGAAAGGTAAGGGGAGGATCGGATGCAGAGTTCGGGGAAGATGAAGGGACATGCAAGGAGGGGGGCTCAACAAGAAGGCAAAATAACGTGCGTGTGGAGAGCGAAAGACGAGTTTACGCGGCGTGGAAGAATTCAAAAATGGCCATGCGCGCTCTAACGCGAAGAAAATTTGAATGTCGACAACCGAAATTCCAAACTGTTTTTTGTATTCCTGTGCACGGTCGCTAACCATCCGCGAAAAGGACTAATTTGAACGAGGACAGGGGCAGTTCCGATAGATTAATTCCCAAAATTGGATAATGGACTCTGCTTTTATTGATCGGCTAAGTGTCTTGGGGTTTACTTCAGGCTTTACTCCAAAGGTACATGAAGCCGAGAGGTACGGATCCCGACTTATCACATAGTACTTCGAGGATGCTAAGAGGGACATAATTCCCCCGAAGTTGCAGTCATTACAAAATTTACAGTGGTAGGAATATAAGCAGATACATCTTCAACTTGTGTTTCGATAACATGTAAAGTAGTCAGAATACCTGCACCAGCTTGGTCTGACATATGGCAACTCTTTCTAATAAACAAGAATGTACTAGATAAAAGTTTTTAAAACACATCTCCTGGGAAAGTTTCTCGACCTTGTGGTCGACATAAATATCATCAACATTTGTGGACTTTGTCTTCTGTATTTTGGGTAGCTACATCTACTGCTCATTAGTCCATGACACTGATTTGAAGTGTCTTTGTTTTACATGCGGTTAAGGTTTTAAATGGGGTTTAACTGAAGATTTCCTCCACCTTTTGTTTCGTTTTTTGTAGGGTAGACGATTCTTCCTTCAATTCCCACTACCAAAGTGTTTGACGCTCAAAAACTCCATCCTTCGAGGAATTGAGGATTTTGTATCATAGACTTTGTCTTCTCGTCTCGTATGGTTTAGGTTGTCTACCGTTCTCTCTACAATTATGCATAGATTAATTGCTAGTTTCGCCTCCGATAAGGGCTTACTTTGCGAGATAGATTTGATCTATATTTATTCCTCTTAGCATTTTGAGTTTTGCTTGCTTGATCTGCACTTTGGACCTAGTTGAACACTTGACCGGATGATGGGGTTCGGGCTTACTCCAGAGGTTCAGTTAGGGACGAAAGTTTTTTTTTCTTCTTCTCTCAATTTCATCTTTAACTACCTACGTAGCACTACTCTTAGGCCCATTCAGGGGACCCCTGCAAGCATAAACCTCTCACAATTCAAGGGATGTATGTTGCCCCCTGCCCTAATCGGCGGTGGTTAGCCTGAGGAGTTTCTCTCTCCCCCTCCCCCCCCCCCTCCTCAAACCCCCCCCAAAAAAAGGGGGGGGGGGGGATGCTCTTCTAATGATTTGGTGTTGATCATATTTCTCTCTATTGGTATGTGGTCAACTTTGTTTTGTTTTGTGTTTGTTTTGTGACTGTCACACTTGATTCCTATGGGATAAGGTACTAAACACATTCTTGATCAAGGGTTCACGAATTATGAACTTAGGCAATTTTCGGGTGCAAATTCTTGATTTAGGTTTACTTCACGGATCTTAGGCCTTAGGCATATTATGAGGTGATATACTGCCTTAATTTTCTTTTTTTCTTGTTAATAAAGTGCGACAGCCTTGAGATATGATCATCGACCTGACCGGCCGTAGGTAGTTCAGAATTGTAATGTTTTACTCTTCTGCTTCCCATGGAGTTGAAGGAGTTCGAACCCAGGTTTGCTCTTCAATAGTTTAGGGGTGTACCAACTAAACTAGGCTAGTTGATACGATGTATTGCCTTACTTATGTGTCACACAAATTGGTCTTACGATCTTTACTTGAATAAATCTGTTGATTGTGTCATTTGTTTCGGTTCTTTGGCACTGGGGTTTACCGATCAATTTCAAGCTTCGAGTTTACTTTTTGGAGTGTGGAATTGGAGTCTTGGATCGTTGTTCACGATTGGTTTTAGTTTGACACTTTTTGTAGTTAGGTCTTTCTTGTTTCACATTCATACCCTCGTCTGCTATTTTGTTATAGTTCATTGGTTCTTAGTACGGACCTCCTACTAGTAGAGGGTCTTATGGCCGCTTGGACTACGTCTGGGGGACAAACAGGGACGTTGCCTTTTGAGGGAGGAGAGGGGGGGGGGGGGGGGGGAGGGAGAGGGGAGGATTCTGTAGCACGTGGCCTGTGCATGAGAGCCTCGGTACGGTATTCAGCATAGTCCATCGTGGGGCGGGCTGGGTACGTGCCCTCTTTTCGTGGGGGCACGGTGGCTGGGCTTATCTTTGCCGGCAGTCGCGCGGGGTGCGTCCATCGTGGGGTGTAGTGGGGTGGTGGCGGGTGACACTTGCAAGGACCACCGCGCGGGGTCCTTTTGTCTTCCGCAATGATGAATGGGTTCCAAAGTGGATGACTGCAGATTAGGCGACCAAAGTGGTATGAGATGTGGGTGCGTACGCGCTGGTGGATGCTCAGGCCCTGCTGCACGACAGTCGAGGCAGACGTGTCGCTATCGCCTGTCCATATATGCCGAAGGAAATGGACGGGTGCTACTCACACCAAGATCGTCCAATGTGCAAAGGGGCCGAAAGGGCATAAACGTCCATCTCGTGTGTCGTCGCTTGCACATCGCCGACTCCACACATAATCGGCATCCACGAATACTCGCCTGCCATCATCGATCTTCACGCTGCGCAACATTGTGAACTCGTCATTCGTTGTCCGTGTGCACACTCGCCTACCATTACCGCCGCTAGCAAACCACAAACTGTGGCGTCGTGCGACCTCGGCACGCGTGGCATCCCAACGCCCCCGATCGTGTCTTCCACCATCTGCGCCTAGTGATCCATGCAAGGACCTGTCGTCAGTCTGCCGTCCACGTCGTCGTTTTGCTGCGGATCAGCACGGTGTCTTCTCCTTTGCTGGGCTGCGCGAACAGGGCGTTTTCAGCACATGTCGTTGCCCCGGACACGTCACCCACGCAAGCCATCCATTGCGCACTTCACGCCGTCGTCGCTCTCCGTCATCATGCTCGTCGTCTTCACCATGTCTTCATGCGGCGGTAATCGGGGCAAGAAGAGAGACAACTTGGAAGAGGAAGCGTCTGTGGTCGTGAAGAAAGGACGTCATCAACCGAAGAACAAGAAGGCTGTTGCAGAGGGCCCTTCGAGGGGAAGTGCCGCGAGGGATGACGAGTGGGTGAGGGATTTCGAGGGCACGGGCGACGACGACAACTTCGTGTCCGAAACGGAGGTGGAAGCCGTCAGGCAAGCGTCTGTGCGTGCACAAGGGGCGGTTCGAATAAACGAGCCATGACCGCAATCTGCTTTCCAACTCCACAGCGGGGAGGGGGTTCGCAAGGCTGACGTAGTCATCGATGTGGACGCTGGTCACGCGGCGAGGGAGGTCCAACAGGATGCTGCTCCACAGATGGCGCACGTAGGGGGGGGCGTTGCGAGGACACGTGTGACTGCACCGCCTGACGTGCAAGATTCCGTGGGGGTGCAATCACTCCCAACCACACCACGTGGCCAAGCAGTTCCGGAGAAGGGAGGGGCCGCGAAGGTGGCGGTGCAAGGAAGTGGCCACGGTGCACATTTGCAAGACCCTATCGCGTCGCAGGGCGGTGTCGTGGCGGGATCAACTAGACCGACGACAGTTGCAGCAACTGCAGAGAGCCGTGGGGAAGGCGACTACGACGAGCCTGTGGTGAATAGGCAACGGCGGGGGTATGCATGGGATGGGATTGAAGCTGCAACGAAGTTGTGGTGGATGACATGAGGTTCTGGAACGAGACGGAGGGCAATGGACTGTTCAAGGTCATCCATGAAGCGCGACTTTATTTGCTGACCATCGCCAGGGGAGTCGCCACTCCCGAGATCCATCAAAGTTTACCCCTCCCTCACTCAAGTATCCCACAGCACAAGATCGCAGACGAATCGCAGTTGAAGGTGGCGAAAGACAGGGCGGTGAAAGTGGAGAGCATCACCTTGCACGTCATCCATAGATGGATCTTCAAGTCCACGAGTCGCTCACGGGGCTACCACTCCGCATACGGGTACATCCTCAACCACGCGGTGACGGACATGGCCCGTGTCATGTGGCTTGGAGAGGACTGGTGCACGTGTGTGAGCCCCGCTATCTGCCACATCACACTGGAGATGGACATGAAGCTCCCCATTTGGTTCGTCGGCACACACATCGAAAACAACCACGAGGACGACGAGTTGGCACGCTACCAAGAGGCGAGCATGTTGCGCCTGGTGAGCGCCTTCACTAGTGCCGTCAGTTTGGCAGAGGGGGTCGACGGGGGTCGCATCCCCTACACAATGCTAAGGAACATCGCCGACGTTATGAGGCTTCTACTCGCGGCGTCTATGTGGCTGATGAGGATGAACGGGGATGATCTGCATTCCCATTTCCGAGTCGATGTGTCGTTGTTCATGCAGCTCACCGCGAAGCCCACACTGGTGGCGGCCATGCATTGGTGTTTCGATGCTCGTCGCCATATCCTTCAGGCAGCCACCGTCGTGGCGGAGAGGATGGGGAAACCCGCCATGATGTTGGCGGACCCGCCTCTGTACATCCCGGACTGGGCTGCCTACGAGATCACATTCAGCCATGACGCCACTCTTCCGTCGCCGATGGCCACGAAAAAGCTGGAATGGTTGGGCACTGGCCCCTCGGAGGACGATGACGACAAAACAACGCGTGATGACAAGGATGGGGCGGGGTAGAGAAGCACAGTCGGTGTCGCGTTGTTGGGTGCGTCAGGGGTCGGCCACGCAACGACGAAGCACACAGTCGGCAGGTTGATGGGTGTTGGTGGCTTGCTGTCGCAATGCACAAGGGCGGCTCGTGCCGCACGGTGGGGGTGTTGACGTCCCATGTGGAGGTTGGGGGATGTGCTGGCGTGCACTCGCACGACCCGGATGGACATGTCAAGAGTAGTATCGCTTTGTAGTCTCTTCGCATTGTGTGATGGATGTTGAGAGAGAGAGAGAGAGAGAGAGAGAGAGAGAGAGAGAGAGAGAGAGAGAGAGAGAGAGAGAGAGAGAGAGAGAGAGAGAGAGAGAG